TCTGCTCACCTAGACTTTGCCCCAAGATATTCAAAATGGGTGGTCACTGTAGAGCAGGAAACCATACATAGGAAAGCTAAATTTTTTTCCACTGACTCTCATTAGGGGGGTTATTGAACAAGACATATCAAATAATAAATTCTCATAAACTAGTGGAGGTTGCTTTCTCCATAAAGTGGAAAATGATGGGGAGTTTTGTCTGGCTTTAAAGGAAAAGGAAAGGTTAATATAGTAAACTCTGAGGTGAGAAAGATGGCTAGTGCAAGAGGTGTAGCAAAGGGGCCTTTACTGTGTTCACCCGGGCACAGCTGAATAATAAAGTGAAAGCAGCAGACTAAAGTTTCAGAGATGAGTGACTTAATGTGCAGGTCAAAGGGGAGAATGACTATACTAACTGGAAGACATGGTCACTGTAATGTTCTGGAGAAGAGGATGTAGAGGAATGTCTTAATTTTTCTTGTTGCTGAGACAAAATACTCGACACCCAAAGTTAAAGGAGAAAAGGTTTATTTTGGCTCAAAGTTTGTAGAGGTTTCTGTCCATAGTTGGCTATCACTAAGGAAACATGCCATGGCAGAGGGGAATTGCAGAGGAAAAACAGTTCTTGGCAGGCAGCAGGCAGCAAAGCAGCAAAGCAGAAACAGCAGCAACAAAGCCTGCCTTTGAATTTTATCCAGAAGGGGGCAGTCTTAATCCCAGCATCACACACTGTGGATCCAGCCACCTTCAAAAACCCCCACCTATAAATGCATGAGGCTTTGGGGGAACACCTAGACAAAAGACATAATATTCCACCCCCTGGACCCCAAACACTCATGCACATCCCATTATGCAAAAGACATTCAGTCCATATTAAGAGTTGCCAAAGTTCTAACAGTTTCAGCATTGCTGAAAAGCCCAAATCTAAAGTTTCTTCTGAGATTTAAGACAAACTCTTAGCTGTGAACCCCTGTACAAATGAGAGGAGAGTTAAACACTTCCAACATACAATGGCCCAAGATAGACATTTCCATTCCAAAAGATACAAGGGGCAGGGGGTAAAAGGAAGTGGAACAAAGCAAGACCAAAATCCAGCAGGGCAAACATTAAGTCCTATAGTTCCATGTCCAGCATCTGAGACAGTCTGTGGCAAGATGTGAATTCCAAAGGGCTTGGGGGGCTCTGCTCCTATGGCACTTCTGGTGGTTGTAGCTTCCACAGCTTCTCTCTTCGGTCAGCTTTGCTCACTCCTCACAGTTTTCCTCCAATGATCCACCACCCCTCCTGGCTTCTCCAACACTTTGGAGTCTCCACTGCCCTTTTGGCTTCAACTCACAGCTTCACACACTGCTCTCTTGGGGGCACACTGCCTGGCCTCCCACACCTTCTTTAAAATCTGAGTGGAAACATTCTTGACCCTAAAATTCTTGCATTCTGCATGCACCTAGAAGCAGCACCATGTGGACGATGTCAAGGTCTGCCACCAGTTGGAGCAGTAGCCAGGCTTTCTCCTCTCTTGGCCATAAAAGTAGAATGCCTGGATTGCTGAGGACTATGAACCAAATCCCAAGGAACAACTTCCCCAGGCTGCCACTATTCTGTATCATGGTGCTCTGGGGCTCTCTTCTCAAAGCAGTCTTTCATCTTTGCAATTTTGAGACTGCAATGGCTGAGTCCTATTGGTTCTTATGACGTCCTCGGGACATTTTTTTTATTGTACTGTTCCTTCTCAGCAATCAAGTTCTCATCTTCTCCATCCTTGCAGTCTGCAATTTTACCAGAATTTTCTTTCTGGCCAGACTCACAGCATTTTAAATCATTCTTCTGGACTCTTTGCTGTTGATTTCCAATGACTACAAGCCCCTACAGTAGCCATGCCATGACCTCAACTTTAGACTGCCTTGACATTTCTAGATTAATTAGTCCACTGCCCTTAATCTCAATCTCAGGTAAAGCCTCTGGATAAGAGCAAAATGCTGACAAATTTTCTGTTAATGCACAGGACAAATGGTTTGAGTTAAACACCCAGTGCAGTCCTTCTTCCCAGCAGAAACCTTGTGAGCTTGGTCTTTTCCTGATACAATTCTATCAGCATTCTGGATTCTGAGCTGTGATCAGAATCTCCTATCAAGTACAGCTTAAAGTATTAAAGGGGTAGCTTTGCGAAATGGCAGTATCATAGCCAATGAGGTTTAACCAAGGTGCAATTATTGTTGAAAGTATTACAGGGCTGCTTCTTCAGCTGGTGTTGCCAAACCTTTCCAAACTCTTCCCACAAGTGAGTGGCAAAGGTTCCTGAACTGTATGGTCAGGTACAGTCACAATAGGACCCCACTACTGGTACCAAAATCTGTCTTGTTACTCTTCTCTTTGCTGAGAGAAAATATCTGATACTCAAAGTTAAAGGAGGAAAGGTTTATTTAGCTCACACTTTTTAGAGTTCAGTTTATAGTTAGTTGTCTTCAAGGCAGGCTGTCATAGCAGAGGGACACCATAGATGAGAAACAGTTCTTGGCAGGCAGAAAGCAGCAAAGCAGTGAAGTAACAGCAGCAGCAACCAAGCTTGCCTTTGTATTTTACCAAGGCTTCCTGACCTTTGGGTGGTTCCACTACACCCAGGGTGGAGCACCCTTAATCACAGCATCACCCACCTTGGTTGCAGCCACCTCCAAAAAGTCCCACCTATGTGTTGGGCTTTGAGAGAAATCTGGAAACAAGGCCAAACAATGCACTTCCACATGAGTATATGTGATGATGCCATTATTTCCACTGCTCTTCACAGTGCAGTAAATCAAGACCTGGCCATTTGCTTCCTGAGATGGGCAGGTATTGAAGCAACGCTTAGTAAGAAAATGCTACATAAAAGGAAAAAAAAGTCTGCAACTTTTACCTTGCATCTAACCTCCCAAATAAGCTATTGTACACCATGAACAATGAAGTTTCCATTGCAGCCTATAAATTTGCACATTTATAAAATCGTTCACTAAAATCATTCACTGCAAAGGTAAATTTCAGAGTCAAAGAAATTCCAGGAGTGGTCAATAAATATGGTGAATGTTTAAAATTTTAAAAGTATTACAATAAAAGACACATTGTAATTAATTTCTCTCAAAATACATCTGGTGCTCACTTCAAAATATTCCATTGTTCTTACCACTTTCTGAAGCAGTTCTAGAAGTTCATTTTGGTTTCTTTATGAGATGTAATTAAAAATATGGTGACAGTTGCTGCTGAGTTCTATCCAATGGAAAGTCAGGCTCATAAAGATAATTATGTTGTGTCTGGATCTAGCACTGTGACTTCTGCCTCTTCTCCATAGTCAAAATGCCCACAAAAGGTAAGTGTTTTGAGTTGATTCAGAACATCAATGGAGTTAAGATAATGCAACTAAAGCTATGAAGGAGGACTTCAAGAACAGCTTTATAAAGTGGCAAGAATGATGGAATATGTGTTCCAAGTGAAGAGGAATATTTTGAGGACTAATGACAATTTGTCTTTCATTGTAACATTTTTTATTTTTTAAAACATTCATTGTATTTGTCAATCATACATAATAAGTGAGCTAGGCTGCTGGGAACAGATAGCATGTACTTTGAACGTACTTTCCTGGTAACATATGTAAAATTTTCATATGTCTCCCAAGCTTGTAGATACTATTCTGTGGTGATTCCTCAAACCAAAGATTTTCTGAATTTACCTGTTCAAATGTCTGCTGCTCCAGGAACAGGTCTAGAGAGATATAATGTTGACAGAGGTGTGGTCTTGATCCAGGACCCAACTTATTATATTTGACTACCAGGCATCTAGGATGCTGTGATAGAATGTACTGCAGGATAAGGTAGGGGTTCAAATAAGACAGGGTTACAGTCTGGCTCCAGTCAGGTTCACCTGATTTTATCCATAAAATGTGCACAGGGTGAGAAGACACCCAGGTAATTTGAGTTGCGGCCCAGCAACACTGTAGTATCCTGAAGTTGTGCTCCACTTCTTTTGGAACCTGCTGGAGCTCAAGGCCTGTTCCTCTCTTTTGTGAACTGAGGTTTTCACCAAACCTTCTAGTTCAGTCCCTGCTGATAACAATTTGAACAGTGAAAAAAAAATACTGGACCAAAAAGAAATTTTACATGGGCTGAGAACTACCTGACATAGGAATCCTTAAACTTATAATGGACCAAGCAAAACTGCATTAGCCTACACTAAAAAGCCTTAAACTAAGTAAAAAATAAGCATGCATAGAAATGTTCTGTGCATATTTTCATAATCAACTAAAAAACAAACAGTATAACTGAAAAACAAGTATTAGTGAAAAATAAACAGTATAGCTGAACAATAAAGGAAACATACATGTAATGGGCATGAGAATTTAAAACTAAACTTCACTTTACAGAAATAAATTGGGTTTGAAGTACATAAGAGACTGTCTGTAGATGGACCCAAGTTCACATTTTGAATCTATCACAAAATCAGCACATGTAACCTTGGACAAAATTTATTTAACTCCTCTTGAGATTTTTCAGCTACTAGATGCAAAAATAGGAAAATGAAAAAGAATGCAAAGATTGGAGTGAGGATTCATTAGATTATCAATAAATATTCCCTTTATTGTATTTTTATTGGTGGTAAAGGGACTAAAACTTTAATAAGAGAAAAAAGGAAATTTATCTGTATAATTATACATTCCTCTCTCTCTCTCTTGCTCTCTCTCTCTGAAACATATACTCTAACCATTATAGAAATACTTGCTCAGTCTTAATGCTTAATATTGCACTGAAATCTTTTGCTTGAAATAGAGGGCTTAGATTACAAGGAGGTGATGTTACAACCACTTGCCGTCATGTTACAGACCCCACTAATGGCCCTAAAAGAGGAGAACTGGCCATTTTTAAAATTAAAAACAATCAGTCATCAGGTAGTCCTACTTCATATTGAATTTCATTTTCACATCCTTCTCTCTTTGGGGAAATTCCATGCATTAATTACTGTGCTTCCTCCAAGACTGCAGAAATATGGGATTCTCTTACCATTCATCCTTGTCAGCATCACAGTTGCAGAAGTAGCGAATGTCCAGACAGCTCTCCTCCAGGCCACATGCACACTGCTGAACCCCAGGAAGAGATCCTCCCCAGTAAAGGTGCTTCTCATTAGACCTCCCGATCCACCAGGTAAATGGGGGTCCATCTGAAAAAGGAGACATTTCACAGGTCATGGAGCAAGCTAAAATAGAAACTGAGATGAAATATCTTAAAGATATTTATTTAAAAACACTAATCATTCTAAAAAAAGTAATGTCTTCTTTCCTTCTTTTCCCTTCTCTCCATTTATTTTGATCTTTTGTTTCTTCCTTCCCTTTGTTTATACCTCCCTAGCTTCATCTCTTCCCCTCCTCTTCCCTCTGTATATCTATACATTTACATACACATACACACGTACAAATTAAGCAATATTTTCATCAAAGTATTTATGTCATGGAATGTTGATCTATGACAGAGCTCAGAGGCAGGACCACAAACTCCAAGTTCCAGGAATCACAACTAAGTCAATCAGGCTGGCTTTTACACAAACAGCAACAATAAAAAATATATATGCATATAAAAGTTTATCTTAGAACTACTAAAGAAAGAACACCAACACAGCCAAAGTTAGCCTAACCCTTGACCTCAGTCGCCTCTAGATACCAAGGAAGGTAAAGATTAAGGGGTAAAGGAGAATGTTGGCTCAGTAAAGAGGGGCTCCAACCTGTCTCCCATGGATTTTGTCATGATTCAAGCAGTCCTTGGATAACAACATGGTATGATTTTTTTTTAAAAAAAGAGAGAGAAGCCATGAAATTTCAAGTTTATAGATTTTGGGAGAAAACTAAAGCATTTTAAATCCCAACAATGTGTGGGCCAAGAAAACCCTTCTGAAGGTCATATTTACATCATATAAAGCTGATATGCTACCTGCAATTCTCAGTTTATAATGTTAACAGAAAACTAGTCTTGAGTTTTGCTCTTATTAATTTCTTTCTTTACAAATTGTAGTTCAGTAAAAACTTATTTAAATTTCTATCATAATTAAGAACACTGCAATAGGTTAAAATGATTATTGAGAGAATGAGACTGTATCTAAGACTAGAACAATAGACAGACCTGAGTGTGTCATACACGTTTAAGTTGAATGGTGGTAGATGTTCGTTCACTTCTGTAATTGCTATTTGTTTTGTTCTGTTTGGTATATAAAAGGTACTTGAATGCAGTTATTTTAAATATTAAAGAAGTATTTAGAGACCATTTTTCATGATTTACCATTTTAAAGTAGAATAATTAATTAATAGTTGTCTGAAGATGCTATAAGATTGAAATTTTGCCTGAACAGGATTTTACTATATGTCCAAATCCTTACTTAAAACCAGGCCTATATACAAAGAGCACTGGTTTTCTCTGAATACACCCTCTGTGAAAGTCCCCATGGAAGTCACTGCCACAAGGAGGGAGAGAAAAGACAATTGGGAATTTTCAAAAATGTGTAGGTCATGAGAAGAACATGATGAAGTTTCTATGAAAAGCTTGGTTATTTTAGGGATGCTGCTTTACAGAGCAGACAGGCTGAAAGTCACAACTCACTCCAGCTTAACACTACACCTGTCTAAAGTAGTCCACATGCCTTCACTATCTTCCAAGCTAGAAATCTAGTTACAGATGTTCCTTAACCAGTGTCTTCTTGTTCAGAATAATGCTACAGACCCATTCATTTAGTTTCAAATAATAATAAATCACTGTTGAACACTTCACGCGAATTTCTTCCTTCCTAAATCACTGTTCAGGTGAGTCGCACTCCAGTAGCCTGAGAGGGTTGATGAGTTGCTAAATGCACACAGCATTTTCAGTACTGTGCTTAAGTGGATCATGCCAGAGTGGAGTCTGAGTAACACAAGGGTAAATAAAGTGATTTTTTTACATTCTGAATATATTAACCAGTGTTGGCCCTGGGTCTGAGAATGGGAAAGAATCTGCCAGCCCCTTCCTCCTACAACACCATCTGGGACTCTCATCCCAGAACACAGAAAATAGACCACAGAGTAAAGTTGCATGGTACCATGGCTTATTTTTGTTCATGCACTACTCTGATGTTGTAAGCACAACTACAGCATCATTACTAATGGTATAAGTCCTGGACAAGCAATTTGTAGATAACTTCTTGGGCATATATTGCTCTTAGAAGTTTTACCAATTCTTGTTGGGTGTGTTATCTATCCAGGATTCCAGAGGAAAGCTCCTTAGCAAGGAAACATTATTTCCATACATCACCTAGAAACCAGGGACTTGTACATGAGGACTTCAACAACAGAGCCCAGAGAAGAGGAGAGGATGGAGAATGCTGGATGAACACACCAGGACCTCCCAGTAGCTACCCTCAGTATCTTGGAGGGCAAGGTCATCAGTGTGAGACAGATGACTCCCATTTTTACTGGGCAGCTGGAGGGGGATACAGCTTGGCCACCTGCTCTGGTGAACCCCCACCTCTCTTTGCTCCCCCTCCACCCCACAATGGACTGGAAAAACTTGCTTCAGAGTCTTCCTTGGCCATAAACCTGTCACTCTCCATTCCCACGTGAGCTCAGCCAGGTTGTCAGTGTGGCGCCCTTGCTGCTCCCACCGCTCCAGAAGCTTGTCTATTTGAAAGAGAGAGGGGACACCCTATCAGGGACTGAGGGATCTGGGCCCCTTATTTATATACCCAACCCTCACAGGAAGCCTTCTAGAAGATCCCCTGGCTTCAGCCATGCCCCTTATGGACCCAGGCCTGCAGCTGTTATGTAAGCAGCACTGCCCCACCACTTCTGTGGTTAATCTAGGAGGGCTCGCTCCTGCGTACTGAGCCCAAGGTGTTGCGGCACAGGGCCTGTTAAAATAAAAACTCAATTTGGTGGTCCTGTAAACAAGGTCGTGAATTATTTCTCACGTAGTATGGGCACACAAGTCCTGTAAATCCACGTGGGACTTTTATCCTGTGAGCAGAGAGGTCCTTTCAAAAGAAAGAGCAATGAACGCTCAGCCTTCATCACCGAACAGCCCCAGAAACCAAAAGCCAATGGGGACCAACAGCCAGCCGTGACGCAGACTGTCACCGGGTAGAGTGCATCTGCGGCGCTCCACACAAGCCTGTATCCAAGGTGCAAGCTGGCAGAGGCCGAACCAGCAGCTGGCTTGTTACCATCTGCACCTGGCATTATCTCGTGTCATCAGGACTGCTAGCAGAGCTGCACTATGCTGATTCACAATTTTCATCCAAATCTAGCAGAAGAACCCTAAGCTGATTGGCAATGAGTGCATAGGACCTAGAAAAGACACTTGTGAAGTTGCACTGATATGCATGGATTTTATGCATTGGAAATTATGTGACTTCATGCATACAAACTAAGTTTTGAAAATCTCTCTCTCTCTTTCTCTCTCACTCTCTCTCTCTCTCTCCCTCTCCTACCTCCCCCCCATCTCTTTCTCCATATATATACATTTTTAAGGAATCTTTCTGAAAAAGTATTAGCCTTAGAGTTTCCACAGTAAACCACTATAATGTGTATTCATTGTCCTTTATTTGTGTCATGTTTGTATATCTCCAAAACAAAGTCAAACTTACTATATGGGTTATAAAAATGAAAATAGGAAACATCACAGAGTATGCTCTAGGTCACAGACAGTGTTCTGAAATGTTCCTCATGTATTCATCCATTTAATCATTTAATCCTCAGAACCCTACCAGGAAGGCATAAGTGCTCTTCATTTTACAATAAAGAAATTGAAGCAAAGAAAGGTGAAATAGCTGCCTCAGGGCCTGAGACAGAAAGTTCAGAATTAAAATTTGCATATAAGCAGATCTTTACTCAATGGGGGTTAAACCCTGTGTTACACCACTGTTCTCTGATTTTAGGGGAAAATATGCAGGCTTTCAGCAAAGCATATATGGGTAAATTTAATTTTTGAAAAATAAGTAGGGAAATTTTAGGTGGCAATTTATTACATTCACTAAAATAATGACAATGTGATTAAAAAAATCTCTGACCCAGTACACATGCACATAATAATAACCTATAGAAGAATGTAATGCTGCTATTGTGGGCTAGGATCTTTTCAGAACCTCCTAACCCCAAGCTTCAAGGAAACAACTCTGATGGGGTGTGACCTTTCAGCACATATGAGAAGCAATGTTCCATCTACTCTGCTGTGAATAACAAGGTTTCATTCTTCTTCATGGCAGAATAATGCTCCATTGTGGTATAGATCACATTTTCTTTATCTTGTCATCTGTTGATGAATCCAGGCTGACTCTAAATTTAGCTTTTGTGAATAATACCACAATAAAAATAGTCATGAAAGTATCTCTTTTGTATACTGATTTTATTTCTATTGAATGTGCATTCAAAAGTGGGACAGCTTGATGGTGTTATATCTACACATTATATTAACTGAAATAATCCAGACACAGAAAGAAAAGTACTGTATATTCTTTCTAAAATATGGAAGCTAAAAATGTCAATTTAATACAAAATAGAAGTTAATAGAAGTTGGGAAAGATATAGGAGACAGAGATGGAGGGTAGACAAAGACAGGATTTGATCAGTATACTCTGTGTGGCCCCGTGGATGGAAATATCACATTGAGACCCATTAATATGCGCAATCAATACATATAACTAAAAATAAGAAATACAAAACTAAACACAAACCAAAAATTATAATGTTTTCCTGAGTATTTACTCAATTTTTAGGTCAATTTCCTAGGACATGAATTGTTCCCTGAGTTTTAAACTTGCTATGTTGTTTAAATAGAACATTTTGTAAGACCATTATTTAACTCACATGGCATAGCAGACTGCATGAGGGCAGTAGATTCAGATTTGTCCATAAATCCCACTGTCAGACAACTTTTTTCAGTTCTTTTCCTCTTGATCAGTACATGGGAAAAATCATCAATCTCTACTCTTTTACCATCACTGTCTTAACTGGTAAAACTTTTTATGTGTCTTACTTTCCATTTATTTTTTAATTTTTCACTTAGAAACTCTTCCTAGAATTTTATAGATACAATTCCCGTGGCTGATCACTAAACTATATCCTGTCCTTAGCCAGATCTGACTCTCCTTCTCACAGCATCTACCCACAGGAAAATGCAAGATCAAAAATTATATATGTTTGTATT